TCTCTCTCTCTCTCTCTCTCTCTCTCTCTCTCTCTCTCACACTCTTGATGAAGAGATTCTTTCCTCAATAAATCTAAGTTAGATCTATGTCCCGGGAAAAGCGTCTCTAGTCACCATCTTGAATGTTTTCAGGGTTGATTCTAATCATCCAATTCCGGTCCGCTGATGGTGATTGTTGCTCGTGGTGCATACCCACTGCATGCCCTATCTCGTGAATGCAGGTGCTCTGGGGGACAAATCAACACCCTAACTATCATCATAACCCTCATCAACAAAACGTCAGCATCGCAATCACAATCAGTAGTAGTATCATCATCATCATCATCATCATCATCATCATCATCATCATCATCATCATCATCACTGTAGGTAGTTGAGAATTAAAAAAATGGGTTTGAGACTTAGTAGACTTTTCAAATTTGATATTCAGGGTGATCCCAAAAAAACTTTACAACTTTTTTTCTGAATATCTCGCGCAAAAATTGTTCTAGAGTGCTGTAATTTGGAACAGAAATAATTCATTCAAAAGGAATGTGTTTGATATAAAATATTCGAAGAAGAAACATGTTTTGAAAACGGAAACGGCTAAAAGAAAAAAGCACCCAAAAGCGCAAAGTTCACCAATGTAAGAATCTTGTAAAGGAAGTCGTGAAAAGATTAGTTAACCTTTTTCTTCATTTTCTCTTTTGACATTAGTTTTCTACCCCTGTGACATTTAAACAATGTTTTAATTCTTTTACAGAGTTTAAAAAACCTAATAATTTCATTCTGAAATTAGAAGCAGTGCTCCACATTCCCTCCTTTGGACACATTTTTAACGCGTCGTTCGAAATGTTCAGTGGCGCCCTAACACGAGGACCTGCTAAACCATGAGTTTTTAAAGCCACATACACTGTACATGTTCACTCAGAAGTGGCTTCTAGAGACAATAGAGTGGGGTGCCCAATAGACAGCATTTTTGGAGTTATATCCTGCAGGGTTGAAAATGGGCTTTACACAAAACCAAATGTCATCGAGGAAATGATCCCTCTTTACAGGACAATCGAGGAATCATGAACACATTGCCATGCCCTGATCCATGTCATCTCGGCCTAGCGAAGATGAACATGGAATAGTCTTAGGTTAAGATCTGCAATGAGAATGCAGACTGTTGATGTGTAGGAAAGTCCTAGCTGCAGATTATCCACGGACAAACGTCTCGTGGGACTCGGCTACTGAAACCTACACTCTGGTGACGTTTAAAGGGCTGCGCATGGTGTGTGTTCGACCTGAAGTGGTCATGTTTTAAAGAACTTTTTAGTTCTGATTTGCTATAGGTCCACACTGACGGAACTTCTCTACTCATGACGGCAAAGGTCTTGAGGGCACCAGAGCATTCTCTCCATGCCGTACTCAGTACTTACTGAATTTCAGGGAAGGTGAATTTGTGGAGAGGTAATGTTCAATACAAAAAGCTCTCTGCTCTTTACTAAACGTAAGCCTGATCTAAGCAGGCGAACAAAATTTGAGAAAAATAATATCTGCAGACTTCTGTTAACTAGTTAGGCTGCTGTAGCTTGCAATATGGCGTGATTGTTGCAACTTTTAGTGGTAGGCCTAATGCGAACTGGTGCATCATGCTATGAAAATGGCGACAAGGTTGAATGAAAATTGGTTGTTTTTTAATACACTATATAGAGAAAAACCATTCAATGGACTTACCTAAAATACATATCAGACAAATTCCTTTTGGATTCCAAACGTTATGTTCAAATCTGAAACGCAAAACTTTTGTATGGAAGAAGATATTTAAAAAGCAAGTTGTTAATTTTTTTGGGATCACCTGTGTAAGTTCAATGTTTCGCACTGTAAAGGGCTTCTTCAAGAACATGTACAAAAACATAATGATGATGATGATCATCATCATCATGATCATCATTGTATACGGCAGATAGTAAAACGGTTGAGACTTCGTAATATTTCCAAAATATTTAATGACACGTTCAACGTTTCACCCTATGTTCATCAGGAACATCCAAACTATAAATAACTACTCTAGCTGTAGTCATCCTCTTCATCATCATGATCATCATCATGATCATCTTCATCATGATCATTATCATCATCATCATCAACATCATCTATTACAATTATTGTCATTATTATGATTATTATTATTACTATTATTATTGTTATTATTATTACTACTACTACTACTACTACTACTACTACTACTACTACTACTACTACTACTACTGTCAATCTGTTAAGTTAAGAACAACACTCACTCCACTGCAACACGATATTTGCTGACCACTTGATTTCCTAAGGTTTCCCAGAAAAGACCAACATCTGTGGAACACAGAGCAAATATTAGTAGAATTCTTTTTCTTTTTAACTGATCACCTACAAACTTTACCAAACCTCCATTTCTGGGAGCAGGAAAAAAGGGGAAAGCGTGGGGAATATTTTTTTAAAAAATCCATATTGTGTAATGTGAAAAGGAAACTTGTAAATGAGT